TTTTAATATTTCCAAAAATGTGTATATGCCTGGATGATGTGTACAAAATAACGAGTTGTACTTCGAATGAAAGCTTTCACAAGCATTTGTTGTCCTTTCAGAACTACTATTCATTTTGGCCCACACGGAAATAGGAAATTTTGCTCCAGAATCTATATAATTTCTTATAATATAATCCATAAATTCGTTAAGTTTTTGATGTTTTGGCATTATAGATATAAAATCTTCAATAATACAGTTTTCTACATCTTCTTGATTTAATAATGGTAAACCAAATATATTTTTCAAAAATAAACCTATTTCTGTTTGGTCTCGATAATCTTTACTCAACCCCAAATTTTGAATGTGACTCCACCATGCTTGCCCCCAAATGGAAACGACATCCTTTAATAATTATAGTTGGCCAAACTTTTAATGCGCCTAGATGAATAGATAATTCAAAATCCGCAAATATATATTCGGGAGAACAACATAAATTTAATTTAAAACATTCAGTTTTTAATATATTAAAACATTTTGAATATGATTCGCATTCTTTATTATTAAGTAAAAAATACACTAAAGGTATGTAATGACCATTACTTAAGCTGTGTAATGTAAATAATTGTAAAAAAAATTTAGTACAATACTTAAAAGTACCATCTACATATATAGTCTTAACAGTACTTAAAGTATTTAAATTTTTTTCACATGAAAACATAACTATATTTAGATTACTGTCATTTACCATGAGAAATTGTTCATCGTCATAAGTTTTGCTTTCTAACGAATACAATACTTCATGTACATTTTGAATATTACATGGTCTTACTGAGTTTTGATCGTCTTGCCAAATATATACTTTTGCGAAAGCAATTCATATCGGTTTTATTTAATGTATCTGTGTTAATTTTCTTAAGTTCATGATGTATTAATTTAAGTGGCCGTTCACAAATCTCATCCTGTGCTTTTCTTTTTAATGAATTACGAATAACTTGTCTAACCAATGTCATGTACGTCTTTTTCATGGTCATTATGATCTAATTTATTCTCTATAACAGTGTCTCCACTTTCATCGGTTTTCAAATATGCTTTACACTTTTTGTTTGTACAATTCCATCGTCTTACATTATTATTTAATATTTTATTATTGGGGTACCTTTTATTTACTTTCGATGAAATATGTGAATTTTAAATTAACTATCTCATTGTTTAACATTGTTGTTGATTCACACAATGATTTGGTAGTTTTTAGATTAATAAAAACAGTATTCATACAGTAGGTATAATATACAATGTTTATGACATTTACAGCGTACACTTACACACAGTACGCTGGTAATACGGGGAAGTGGGATACATTCTCGATACAAATCCTTTTTTAATATTTATAACAATATCAATTTTATATAAATATTACATGTTACAAAATCAGCCCCCCCACACACACACAAGTAAATTATTTTACTAACACTACTTACACATAGGTAGGTACTTATCATTACGTTATATACGTTATTAATGTAATCAAACTGTAGAGAGTGGATAGAAACTCAATGGGTACCTACTCATAATACTATTATATTATATTTAGATATTTAGTCAACTTGATACAATATATTTTGTTTTAGCTTCGTGTGTATAATCACAATGTTCGGATTAGATAAGTATTTTTTTATCTAGATAAAAAAAAGATACAATTATTTTTCAAATGGTTTTAAATTTTGGTATATTTTAGTTGGGCACTAGGAACATAATTATAATAATTATGTGTATAAAAATAATTGCATTAATAAACCATACATTTTGTTTGAGAATCTGTATAAATATTTTAAAATGTTGTACAATTTCGAGATTTTTATCAATAAAAAATGTATCTAGATGAATTTATTTAAATTATTAAAAAAATTATCTAAGATGAACGTTTAGATACATTGTAATTATTTATCTAGATAAAATAAAAGATGAATAAATAATGATCTAGATAAATTTATTTAGATAAGTCCGAATACTGATAATACTTGCCTGTAATGACTTTCGAATCCCGTGAGCCAATGCACTCTCATACACTTCTTTATAGCCATCGATAGTCATCTGGAGTTCATCTCGAATCCGGATCAACATGTAACCCCGTTCCGTACAGTTCAACGTAACCTGTCTTATGACTTCGTCTATATAAATACAAGTGTTGAATGACAATTAAGTTATATTATGAACAATAAAATAAACTAACATTAAATCAGTTCTATATAGGTACTTAATCCAAATAAATAAACCATAAGGTATTTACTTAAAGGAGCACAAAACACAAAAAATAACTTTTATTCATTTTAAATAATTTTCAATTCTAAGAATAATGGTATAGGTTTTACGTTTCTACTTACATAATTCAATAAGTTTTGAGTAATTGAAAAAAGGAGCTTGACGTCATTGAGCCCGGCCAATCGTAATTGCACATCTTATACGTGTAAAAGTTCCTCGCTTCACATAACGATTTACCAACCTAAACATTTTATTTAAGTAATTTAATTTAGGTATAAATGTGTGGTTTTATGTGTTTAAGACGATACATGTATCAGAATTTCAATATAAAGTTTAGTTTTTTTAAATATTAAAAATCTTAAAAGATATGTTTTTGAATTTGAATTTTATATTAAGTCGCCATGACGCACTGTTTAACAAAATTACCACTTTTAAAATTTTTAATATTTAAAAAACTAAACGTTATATTGAAATTCTGATACTTTTACCATCTTCAACATATAAGACCACACATTTATACTTAGATTCAATTTCAGAAATAAAAATGTTGGGTTGGTAAATGGTTGTGTGAAGCGAGGAACTTTTACATGTATAAGATAGGCAATTGCGATGTGACGGGCCCAATGACTTCACCCAGCTATTCTAAATTTCATAATATCTCTTAATGTAATATTTTTTTTACATTGGATTTTCACAAAATCATTTTATACAGTTATAGCTACAATAATTGAACATTTAAAAAAATTTAAAGAACATTTTTTTTTGTGTGCTCCTTTAAATGTTTCTAACATATTATTTTATTGTTACAAATTATTATTTTATCTAAATGCATTGCAATTTTAAATTAGTATACTATAAATTAGAATTAAATGATTATGCAAAGAAATTGAGTATATGGATAAATATATAGAATTATTTTTCTGAATTAACTACATAAACTTCGATTAATGGCGGCTAACCTATAATATGTTTAGAATGTGAACTCAATAGTCAAATGACCTTGTGGCTTTTAACACCAACTATAGGTAATCAGGTAAGTTCATTATATAGATTTATACTTCAAACTTAACTGATATATGCAGAGTATAGAGCACTATTAAGCCAGTAGCAGCATCTCATGATAACTAGTATCAGAACGGAATCATTTTTCCGTAATATTACGGTCCGTACGATAGGTACCTTTTTATTTATTTCGTACATTTCCATCGTCACCATTTCAACCTCATGGCTGTAACAGGAAATGACACAAACCCCAAAACCATTACATACTAAAAGACGGTGTAACATGTAATAACCACATCAACACATATAGAAACATATGGAATTATTGTGGTTTTCAAGAAGCAAACAGCGGTGCAATACGCCAAAACAGCTAATTTGTTTTAAATACCAGTGTCCTATGCTCAGAAACTAAACTGAATACTGGCCTACACTGAATGATTATATTGTGACTTACTAACAGAAAACTTCCAGACAAATGACCCTATTTTCATATGACACAATGTTGAAATAATGTTCTATTAATCTTCTTTCTTTAAATATTAATAAACGACAAGTAATCTATTTTACAGGTAGTAAGAATCCAATAATATTTCAGTAACGAATTAATAACTATTCTCTTGATAGATAAAACTCAATTAAAGACTTGGGTGTCTACTTTAAAAATTATTTATCATAATAATACCATAGAATGATTATAAACAAATCATAAAAAATGATAGATTTTATCAAAAAATACGAAAGAGCTGTTTAAAAATCCTTTTTGTTTCAAAATACTATATATATCATTAGTAAGATTCGGTTCACTTATTGGGTCTTGTAATTACTCAAAATAAATAAATAATCTTAATAATGTCCAATACAAGTTTTTTATGAGAATTGCGTATGCATCCAATATACAAATCAGTATATCACTAGATATAGTATATAGGTACAGTAAGTTTAAGACAACTTCTTGAGCCTATAGTCTGTCCCACGAGAGAATAATCAGTCCGCCGACCAATTTTCGTCCGGGTTGGCGCATACCCCTACTCTGGAGACCACGTTCGAGCGGCTACGTCGCGCGTCGGTGCGCGCCTGTCGGCGGTGCACGCCGATCGTCGTTTGAGTGGGGCGAACCACTTGTGGAATGCCACTGTTATAAAATATTATAGGATATGCAAATACGTAATTAAGGGAGTGGGCAATATTGCCCGTGGGAGGTTTGTTTTAGTGGCGCCAAAAAAAATGTAAAAAAAAATGCACATATATATGCGTATAGGTATTGTTATAATAATTGTTTTCTAATAAAATAAAATTCCATAGTTAAAAAATAATGAAGTTACATTTTTAATAAGCAAAAAAAATAGAATATTATTATTACGTAAACATTTTCAAATTTTGTAGCAAGTATACACAGATATACAAAGGTTTAAAACCACTGGTTTAGGTTCCCTAAAATATATGTAGTTACGAGGGTGCCATATTACTATAAACACTAACCTTGGTATGTATAACATCTGCCACCTTTGGCAAATGTCTGCGTCGGTCTCAACGTTGCCTATTGTGTAATGGATGACGGAGGACCGACTGGCTAGAGCCTGTTATTTCATAATATAATGGATTTCACCAACATTCAATACGTATGTCTACACTCTACGAGTCAACGGTCACTAACACTCCAACCGTACGCTAAGAAAGTACTCTGTTAGCTCCTTGTTTTTGAGAATAGTTTGTTATTGAAATTGTGATTTTTTTTTTTTAAACTTTTAATACCTATAATGGATCAATTACCTGACGTCACTCAATCTCCAGCAAAACGCAATCCGAGAGGAAAGGTAAGTCAATTTTGTTAAAATAAATAAATAAATGTTAGTATTAACTATTGGTAGGTACCAATTACACAATGTTTATATTACACGTGCACGTTCTATTTGACGTGTATACAAGCTATGAATGTTCACTAAAATAGTGAACGCGTTCATTTTATTAGAAAATGAACGTGAATGTGAACGAATTCATTATTTTAGTGAACGTTCCAAACACTGGTGAGTGGTGGTATTTTATGTTAATTTAATTTTTACATACATGTTGGACGTTGGTACACTATATACATACAGGTCCCCACCAACAAAAATTAGTTGGGGAACATAAAACACAAAAATTAAATTAACCATTACAAAATCATTAGAGAATAATATTTTTGAGGGAATGTCATATCGATTTGTTTAAGTATTGTCTCAAAGCAATTTAAATGTCATTTAAGTTTGCAATTTTAGATTCTGAGTGAAACGATGAATGTATTGATTTTACAATGATGTGTGTTTTTATTTTTATTTTTGTGTCTGTGTACACGATAAGTAGTCGAAATAATGCTTCGATTTTCGACTTCAGTATCTTGTTCGATTTTGTTTAGGGACATTTTCATTTTTCATTTTTTTTTAGTTTTTTTTCTAGAAATATCAATTCAATTTTATTTGTTGGTTAAAAAAACTTGAAAATTTAATAGAAGACTCCTAGTATATTGTTTCAAAGGCAGATGAAAAATATTAAAAATCGTTAGTCACAGTTTTTTTTTATAAGCATTTAAAGTTCAAAAATTGACAAAATATGGAAAAATCAAGAAAATTAGCAAATTATTTTGAGTTAAGAATTCGCAAAAATTTTTCTTTTTAAATCTAAGATTTGAAAATGTAATACAAGATTACTCATAAGTTTGTCTACCTTTATCAATAAAAAAATCTCTACCGGACAATCAAATTAAATTTTTATGAGCGTTTGAAATTCAAATTTTTACAACATTGGATGTTCACTCGATTTCTCATGTAGCGATTTCCTTATTTTGTTGTTATTCATAAACGATAATAACTATAGATACATGGAAACTTTACTGAATGTTTATATTAGCATTTCCTATACACCATACAATTTTGAAAATATGTTGACTCTTTTTGAGCTATTTACGGATATTTTGATTTTTAAATTTTTTTATTTTTTTTTCTATGAATATCAATAAAGTTTTATCTGTTGGGCCAAAAAGTGTAAAAATTTAATACAAGGCATCTGATATATTGTTACAATATCAGTTGAAAAATATTAAAAATATATAGGCACAGTTTTTTTATAAGCATTTAAACATCGAATTTTGACAGAATTTTTCAAAATCTCGAAAATTATTAATCATCGTAATTAATAAATTATAAAATGTTCAGTTTTTATAACTAAGGATTGAAAATTTAAAACAAGATTCCATGTAGGTAGTTAATTCACTTACCAAAAATCTAAAAAATATACAATCACAGTTTATTTTTATAGTCATTTTATGTTCAAATTTGGATGAAATTACATATTAAAAAACCTAGTTATTTTGTTGTGATTATATAATATTATTCGTGGGTACCTACTTGAAACTTCTAAAGTTTTATACTATTATATATCAATGATAGTATCAGGGTTTGTTATTGATGTTGATGTATAACTCGTTATAAGTACCTAATGGATATTGTGATAATGTGATATGATTAATTTGGAATTTATTATAGGTCAATTTTTTTTTTAATACCATAGATATGTATATAATTTGTCTTAAACCTAGACTGACTTACCGTCTTCGCTCAGAATCGTTTTTCTTATACAATGATATTGTATCATTGAATTCAAATTTAATACCATCCATTATACAGTGACCCACTTGTAACCTACAGTACAGCAGAGCGACATCCACTTACCCACCTTTTTTTATTATGAAAATCGAATACGAAGTAAAATAATAATAATAATTCATAAAACCGATATGTTATACACTCAAAGGCTCAAAAATATTATCCACTATACATTTTGTAATAGGTGATTTTATTATAAAATTATTCAAAACCAATAAAAAAAATTCAGCGTAAATGCGTTTTTCTATGAATGTCTATAAAATTGTATTTTTTGGGTAAAAAAGCCTAAAAATTTAATACAAGGCTCCTAATATATTGATACAATGATATATGAAAAATATTAAAAATCCGTAGTCACGGTTTTTATTATGATCATTTAAAGTTTAAATATTAACAAAATACGTAAAAATCACGAAAATGTGCAAATTATTTTGAGTTAGAAATTGATAAAAAATTAAATTAATATTTTATTAATATTAGAATTTTCTATAAACCATTTTTTTTACATTATTAGCCTTTTGACTAAACAAAAATAATTATATTGACATTAATATAAAAAAGGTGGGCAAGTAGATGTCGCTCTGCTGTACAGTAGGTTACAAGTCTGTCACTGTATAATGGATGGTATTAAATTTGAATTCAATGATATAATATCATTGTATAAGAAAAACGATTCTGAGCAAAGACGGTCAGTCAGCCTATGATATATTTATATAACTAAGTATATTTGATGATATTATTGTGATTTATATTTAACCTATTTACGTGGAACCTTGTTTTAAATTTTTAATCCTTAGCTAAAAAAATTGAACATTTTATACATTTTTATCATTTAAAAAGAAAAATTTTTATGAATTCTTAACTCAAAATAATTTGCTAATTTTCGTGTTTTTTCCGTATTTTGTCAAAATTTGAACTTTAAACGCTTATAAAAAAAATTGTGACTAAGGATTTTTAATATTTTTCATCTGCCTCTGAAACAATATATTAGGAGCTTTGTATTAAATTTTCAAGCATTTGTACCCAACAAATAAATTTTAATTGACATTTATAGAAACAAAAACTAAAAAAAATCGAAAATTGCTTATGTCCGCATACAGTTCAAAACAAATCAAAATATTTTGAAAATGTCATCTTGTATAGAAAATGCTCATATAAACAACCAGTTAAAATTTCATGTATCTACTATCATTCACTTTAAAGTTACATCCAACACCAAATTTGATTTTGTCGGAAAACCGATTTTGCGTAAAAATTCCCGTTTTTCCTTAATTTTTATGTTGTTTTACCCGGCGCTTTTGAAAACTACTGGGAAATTTTTACTTTTGACCCCCCAAAGTACCAACTAGATTCACTTTCCTATCAGAAAAGATACTGTTGAAGAAAATCCAAGCATTTTTACTGTCCTAAAACGTGATGACAGACACAAAAAAAAATAAAAATAAAAAATAAAAAAATAAACACACATCATTGTAAAATCAATACATTCATCACTTCGCTCAGAATCTAAAAAAAATTGAAAATGTTATCATTTACTTATAGAAAATAATTGAAAATTGTATAATTGACTATATAGCCAATTCAATTGAAATTGACTCGATTTATAATAATTTCTCTATACCTATTGCTTAATCGATGATAACATTGTATTCAAAATTTTTATTTTATATTCTGAGTGGAACGATGAATGTATTGATTTTACAATGATGTGTGTTTTTTTATTTAATTTTTTATTTTTGTGTCTGTCACCACGGTTTGGGGCAGTAAAACTGCTTCGATTTTCTTCAACAGTATCTTGTCAAGATCAACATCCACTTACCCACTTTTTTTTCAGTTTGTTTCTTCAAGTCAAAGATTAATGATCATCAATGCGTATAAAGCGAAAATGATTGAAAATCCTGAATACAAAATGCTTCATCTAAAAAAAATACTTGCTGCACAACTTGGAATCGGACAGTCAACAATTTATAATACGGTATTGGAGTACCAAAGAAATAAAACCGTTTCTTCGCCAAATAAAACCAAAAATAGGGTCAAAATATATGATAAAGTAGATGAATTTGACAAATATGCCATTAGGAGAAAAGTTCATCAATTTTGGCACAATCGTGAAATGCCTACGTTAAACAAGGTTCTAGTAGCAGTCAATGAAGAAGCCAATCTACCAAATATTTCTCGATCATCATTGCATCGATTGTTGAAATCAATGGATTTTGTATTCACTAAGCGAGGTCGTAATACTGCTTTGCTTGAAAGAGAAGATATTATTCTGTGGCGGAGAAACTATTTAAGAGACATCAAGCGATATCGCGAAGAAGGTCGACCAATTTACTACTTGGACGAAACATGGGTGAACGCCGGAGATGTCAATAGTAAAATATGGGTTCATAAGAGCGTTTTAACAGCTAGAATGGCTTCGTCTGCGGGACTTTCAACTGGTGCAGTAAATCCAACTGGCAAGGGAAAACGCTTAATTGTTTGTCACATCGGTTCCGAAGATGGATTTGTACATGGAGGACTTTTGAGCTTTGAGTCAAAAAAAAATACTCGAGACTATCACGATGAGATGAACGGAGACTCTTTTCGTGATTGGTTGCAAGGTGTTTTGCCCGGACTTAAAGAAAACGCTGTTATCGTGATGGACAACGCTCCTTACCACTCGGTAAAAACGGAGAAATGCCCAACAACAAGCTGGAGAAAAGCTAACATAATTGAGTGGCTCCAAAACAAAGGAGAGGTAGTCGACAAAACAATGAACATTTTAGAGTTGTTAGAGGTTGTCAAGAAAATCAAACCATTGTACAATAAGTATGTTATCGATGAGATGGTCAAAGCTAATAATAAAATTGTCCTCAGATTACCTCCTTACCACTGTGAGCTTAACCCTATTGAGCTTGCATGGGCTGCAGTGAAAAGATATGTGAGAGACAACAACAAAACATTTAAACTACCAGATGTCAAAAAATTACTTGAAGAAGGGGTGAACAAAATTGATGGTGATATGTGGAAAAACTTTATTCGACACGTGAAAAAGGAGGAAGAAAAAGCTTGGGAATTGGATAACGTGGTCGATGACGTTATGACTGCAGAGAACCAACCATGCGTTCTAACCGTAGGCAATAGCGAAAACGACACGGATGAAAAATCAGACGACGATGAAGACTTTAGATATTTATCAGACAATTCAGACACCGATTAAATTATATTTAAAAAATAATTTGTCCATAACTATTTATGACTAAAAAATATTTTTTTTTTATTGTTAGGTATAATTTATTTTTATTCTATATTATTTTTGTATTTATCTAATAATATTTTATAGTCAAAATTATGTATGACGTGATTAAAATGTATTTAATTTTGTATTTAAGATGATAAGTTGATTGATTTATTAATGTTTTTTGTCAAAATAAAATGTACATTTCATGAACTTTTTTTATGTTTATAATATTATGATTATTATATTATACTTAACAAATTAATTTCGATAAAAAATAATAATGTCAGCATTCCGAGATAATTATTAATTTATATGAAATACAGTTGCCAACCACAAGCGTAGCGTACTTACGCCGTCGGGCGACTGCCGACAGGTCACAGCCCACAGGTGACTGGTGTATGCGCACTGCGCGCGTGAACTTTGAAAGAAGGGGTATCGGTTGTTTCCTACTCACGACTTCGGCCTCGGGCGTTGTCGCAGTGTTCGTATGGACGCTTGGAAGGGGAAATTGGGGTTCGGCGTCGCTGAAGCCGTCAGTCGTGATGCGCGAAAAGTGATTATTCTCTCGTGGGACAGACTATAGACTCATTAAGTGTAAGACGCAAATGAGCAAATCGATGTTATGTTAGTATACGATATTTTAAACAACCTCATTTGAATACTCATACTATGAATGAAATACTTATTTTATAGTAATTTTGTTATTTTAAGATGTAGGGTATAAACTTCTAACCATTTATTACCTAGAAATTGTGTATGGGTCACAAATATGGCCATATCGCTTTAATGGATTTTATTTTTTGGAAGTTATGTATAGGGCCAGCAAGAAACTTTAGTACATGGGCCAACAATTTGATGGGGGGGGGGGGGGGGGCTGCTTGCATTACATACTTTATGTCAACATTTTCCAATAGTTGTTATAATCTTGTAAAAATGAAATTTTCCAGTAAATATAACAATAAATAAATAACTAAATATTATATCAATAAACGAAACGTGATACTGAAAACCATTGTTTTTCTGTTATTTACTGCACAAGGTAAAGCCACTCAAAAGTATACACCGTTTCAGGGGCCATTGAACTCTGGTCGAATACCTACATTTGTAATGTACCTATCACTTCTATCATACAAACTCATCATATTATAGGTAGTTAAAAGCATTCTTACTAAAACATTGACTGTATATTTCTTGTTTGATCGGGCAAATCCCCACCTCTTTGACGTTGTATTCTTTTAAATATGTATCAAATTTCTCAACAAGATTTTTCACATCTCGGTTAGTGGCTGGTTGAATGGATATTTGTTGAGAAAATATTTTACCATCCATTTCCCATTCCTTTGGTGGTAATATACTATTTAAGACGTCTGTACAATTATGCTGTTTAGCCTCATCAACATAGTCTCCAGCTTCCATCAATCTAACATTACTTCCCAAACAATATTTTTCCTAATATAATGAAATTATTCTAACTAGTTTATAACATTTATACTGTCTTTAATCTATCTATGTACATATATATATTAAATATGTATACAGGGTGTACCGTGAGGATATACCCATTAGCCTTCGAGGGGGACTCGCCGCTAGGACAAAAATTGGGTTTTTTCAGTTTTACTTATAAACTATAAACAATATTAAAAATCATGGGATTGATAAAAATAAAATGTTGAAAAGTGAAAAAAAAACTGCCTACAAAGCATAATGCATGCTTACTGCAATAACCTGGCCACCCGTTTCACACTGCTTTCAGCTTTGGTGTGCAACCGGCCTACAGTTAATTTTTGAATTCCAGAAAACAAATATCTTCAAATATTGGGCTCAATTAAATTCTAGGATTTTCAAAATAATTCAATCTAACTCTGAATGATTATTGCGTTGTTTGAGTTTTACAAACGATAAATGGTAAATTTTAGGAAAATATTGTGATAGAAGTTTTAAATAATTACCTCCACATAAAGAATCCGTTTCTGTACGCCTGGCAGATGGTAACTACTGAATCAAAATTTGAAAAATTGTCTACTCAGGTTATGTATATTGTACATTGTAAGCTCCATAATCAAATATCTTTGAAAAAAGATTTCTAAAGTTCGTAAATTATGCTCAAATGAGTTGTGACTGTGTTGATCAAGCATAGGTAAACTTGAACGAAATATCGTACAGTCCACGCAGGAATGTTTTTATGATTAGGTACTAAGTTGTATTATGAAATAAACCTGCCTGCGTTTTGTGGTCGACAGTACCAACAAGCAGACAGCGTGACGCAGCACAGATGCGCAGAACCTAGTTCAAAACATATCAGTGTGTTTCTCTGTGCCATGGACATTAGAAAAATCTAAGGTTCATGCATAGTAGGTACATTCGCAGATTATGGTCTAGGTTCATTTTAGTCTCAAATTAATAATTACTGATAACTGATATGTAGGTCGCAGGTAACATATATTAGATATTTAGTCTTAAATCATACATACCTAACAATATGATATCGAAGTATTATAATATGTTAAAAACATATGTATATTCACGTCTTTACATTCAACGAAAATAAATATATGTTGTATTATATTATAATTAGACTTGAGTGATAAAATAAGGTATTTTATAAATATTATACCATAGGTAATACTTGTTTGGTCTGTGTTGAAAGTGTTGGCATATGTTTGGTGGCTATCAATTTTGGATTATCGAACTGCACCAAATTTAATTCTGATGGAAGTAGTTTTTCAATAGTACTCATTTTAGTACCAGTTTCTAACGAGATATTAATAATCTATATAGCATAGGTAATAAGATAAAAATAAATTATTGTAAGTACAACATACTATGATACCGTCTAAAAATTTAACATGGTAAGTATTATTTTTGGTTTTATATAATATATAATATAATATAATGTTTAATTTTACTTGTGTTAGATTTATGTACCTAATTTGTGTAAGTAACGTGTAAACAAAAATATAGCTTACTTTAATAAATTATGTTAATATCTTACAGAATAACTCAACAATGTCATATTATATTGGTATAAAAAAAAATATCGTTATTAAAAAGTAAACTGCATAAATCGCATGGAAACCATAGAAACCATAATGAAAGTGATTAATCCCGTTTGTTAGTTGTATGACTGAATTTATGATTTAAAATAAATATTAATACCAAACGGGTCAATTAATTCGGTTGGCCCTGGTCTAAAATATAAATTCAAGTACCTACCTACCTACAGGCACTCTGCAAATTTTAATTGTCCTCAAACGTTTATAATTATGTACAATAGAAACAACGATACTATAATATAGATTTATTATTTATCTCATCTGATATACTAGTATATTATGTATAGCGTGGAAAAGCTTTTTAACTCTTTCTAGAACAGGGGTTTGATAAAATATGTTTATACATATGCTCAGTGCTGAGACTTATCTATATAATTATTTAGTTATATTTTATCTTATCTAAATAAATAGTTGCATTTTATCTATATAATTATCGAAGACAAAAAATTCATCCATCTAGATAAATTCATCTCTGTACAATAAAATGAAATACATTTTTTATTGTCAATTTATTTTTTTTATCATTAATACTTTAAATTTTAATTAGTAAAAAAATTGTATGTTCATAATAATATTATATATTAGGTACCTATTATTTATTATTGATATTTTGGGGCCCAGCTTAGTGCTCAAATATACCTACATTTCATTGTTATCTTGTGTTGGTAACTCGTCAACAGTAAATTAGTGGGAAAATGATTATAATTATTTAATTTGTATCTAATAAATTATAAGTTATTTTTAGGTAGAGTAAGAGCTATATAAAACGTATTTAATTGTGTTTTCCTAGTTCCGGCGTGTATTGTACCGATACGGGTCAACCAACTGCAATGGGTCTTGAATTTTTAATTAGGTTTGAGTACGATTGATATTTTAAGTAATCGAAGCTATATAAATCTTTGTATAATTATTATTTATCAGTAATAAACTAATAACTAATCAGTAATAATATTATATTTGTAACAATGTATATCGTTTACCTGGAATCCTGCACATTTGAAATGATGATATTGTGTTGTAGATGTTTGAATAAATAATATTATAAATAAATTTTATAAATAGTATATTGATCTTTGTTGTATCGTTAAACTTATAAATATTATATTTATAAATAATTCATATCACCTGTCACCTGTGTATAAATTATATTATCATTATGACATGATCATAATTCATAACGTAAAATAAAATGTTTTCCTATTTGTTATATAGTACCTATATACTTATGCAATGTACACAGTACCTATACATGATATTAGGTGTACTTTACATAATAACAATAATTGTATATCTACTAAGAAAATTTAAATACATACTGAAACTGTTGTAAAGGTTCATAATAATTAAAGTTTTCTATGACGAGTTGTTTAAAATAGTTTTTCTTGATATTTAGGTATACCTAATTTTGAAAATGTTTTTTTCAGTTATAGTTAGTTATTGATTAATAATAATGTTCACTGCTAAATTTAATTTAAACATATAGGAAGCCGGTGCTTATATAATATTTAAGTCCTAAGTAGTATCTAAGCTGTACTCTCAAAAGTTAGACTTTATAGTAGGTATAAAAAAAAAAACATAATTTTTTTTATGTAGATTAAAATGTATATATATTTAATCTTTATCTAGATAGATTTGAATGTAGTTATCTTTTATCTTTATCCAGATAAATTTTTACCATAGATGTGTCCAAACAGGCTTAAGGAGAGTTTGACAAATATAAATAAGTCAATTAAGAGGACTTCGCATCGTGTTGTCTCCATCTTACACACGTACGATGTAGAAAATTTTCGTTCACTAGTTTCAATAGGGTGCTGTCATTTTTGATTTTAGAGTGAATGTACCTATTATCAAACTTTTACGTAACAACATTATCTGTGTTCTCTCGTTGGTTTTTTACGATATTTTAATTTTTAAGTGAGTTATCAGTATGTAAAATATTAATGTTTGAAAATGCTCATAACTCACTTAAAAATTAAAATATCGTAAAAAACCATCGAGAGAGAACACAGATAATGTTGTTACGCAAAAGTTTGATAATAGGTTAATTCACTCTAAAATCAAAAATGACAGCACCCTATTGAAACTAGCGAACGAAAATTTGCTATGTCGTACGTGTGTAAGACGGAGACAACACATGCGGGTGCGAGTGAATAGTCCAACATGAAAATTGTTTCTAAATTTTTTTAGAAATTTCAATACGAATTAAATTGATTAGGTCACTAGGACGGTAAGTTATAGCACAGAAAAAATCATATAATAATTAATAATAGGTTACCATTATAAAAAAATATATGAAATCGAATTTAAAAGTTACAGAATACCATTATGAGGTACGTACTTCCCGTCGTCATAGATAATATTATTAAAGAATGGATAGGCCATGGCTATATTAATAAAATAGAGGGATGGGTACCGGAATAGGGAAGAGAGAAAGACTGTTTTTTATCATTGCATCTCATCCTGGCAGAGGTCTTATCATAAATAATGTGGCATACGAGGAAAATGTGTTGTTGTCACAGATATAATATACTATACATATATAGTATACACTATAGTAATATATACTATACATAATAATATATAGTATACACTATAGTAGTATAGTATTATAGTATATTATATCTGTGGTTGTTGTTAATTGTTGACTTCGAGGTGATTCCCTCGTAATCAACATTTTTGTGTGTTACTCGAAGAGAGGTTGTTAGATGATGATACATAGAGTTTTAATTAAGATATTTATTGTTTATTGACCCGAAAATGATAGTAAGATAATTATTACGAATGAAGGGGGCCGATTGTGCTGTGGTGATAAAGACTGTGTTATCCGTCAAACAATGTCGGCGAAGAGCGAACGCGACGTTGCGTCTCAGTGCCGGTCGTCAGGGGGACCAAAAAGGGCCCGGGCGTTCCGGTCGTTGAAACGTCGATTGTAGTTCGTCCAGTCGTGGACTAGGGATTTGAGTCTTTACCACAGATATATATATATATATATATTATATATTATATTTGTGGTCGTTACCAGAGAGTGAGCCTTGGAGACGCTGTGACATGACGGACGCGGGTAGTAGAGAAGGAGTATTGTGGTAATGACTCACCACAATAATAAACAATATTTATATTATATAACTATGTATATCTATTCGCGTTAAGCTTAAGACCTCTAAACCTCAAAATATTTTCATGTTCGTTACCGTATGATAAGCACAAAGGCCTATCCATTTACACGTTTATTTTAATTAATAGATAACACAAATTTAATTAACTTAAACTAGACAAATGGTATTGTAATAGGAACCGTCCCCGTGATATAATCTTTTACTAAAAAAAAAAATTAGGACAATCGGTTGAGTAGTTTCCGAGAACATTTGCATCAAAGGTGTGGTTTCATTTTTCGTATAATTTTTTTCCACCCACACCTCATCAAAGAAGTTTTACTTCAATGATATATATTTATATAAGTCAATCAATAAAAATATCAATAGAAAATATTAAAAAATATTAATACAATATCAAAAAAGGTGGACAAGTGGGTACTGCCCTGCTGTACAGTAATTGCCGATTGTGTAATGGATGTCCGATGTGTCATATTTAAATTCAATGATAAAATATAAATGATTGCATACGAAAAATAATTTTGAGCAGAGACGTTGTGAACCCAGCATAGGTACTTGTATGCTTAATCAAATTTAATAAATAAAAAAAAATAAGAATCGAAAATATCTCAAGGGCCAAGGCTATAATTAGTGTAGCTTCTCAGTGATTTTTTTTTTATAAGGTAGAAAAACTTCTTGGAAATTTTCTCTTAAAATGTATAATGTTAGATAATATAAAAAAAAAACTTTTATGAATTTCTAACTGAAAATAGTTTGAAATATTCGGTAAAAAGACATAAGACAAAACAAATTTACTTATATTGACAAAAATATTGAACATCACACACGGATTCACAAGGACGCGTCAGCTAACACAGTACATAAGATATAATTTTCAAAATATTAAAACTATTTTTGAGCTATTTATAGACATTGGATATTTTAGAATTTTTATTTTAGAAATATCGATTAAAATGTTTGCTTGGTCAAAATATTTAAAAGTGTAAGTCAAGGTTCCGCATAAATTAAAGGTAATTTAAACCTATCAAATATAGGTACATATATAATTATGCATTATTTTTTAAAAATGCATTTTAAGTTAGCATTTTGGCAAAGTCTCTAAATTATATAGTACGAAATTCAAATTTAACAAATATCTACATTACTATGATTTACTAAATTATGAGGCTGTTGTCTACTGTAACGAAGAGTCAAGGTTTTCTATTTCCCCTAATTTTAAAATTAAATTCCAATACTAACTAGCATTGTGGTAATATATCTAGATAATACGATTGTATGCCACGTTTAAATTAATAAAATGTAGAAAACCCACAGTTCATCCTTTAAGATAACAGCTTTACAGTGATACAAAAATCTCATTTTCAATAAAAATGGAGTTAAAAGGTGTTACAACGTAAAGGTCGTGGTATATCTATGGTCGGGAGTCGTTAAAGTGAGTCGAGCTCGGTGGCGCGACATCCGTGGAGACACCATGAAATGACGGACGCTGCAGGTCGGTGTCGCCAGCCGCAGCAGGGGGCCGTAGAGAGGATGTATTGTGGTGATGGCTCACCACAATAATTATACATATATATATATTTGTGTTAAGCTTAAGACCTCTAAAATATTTTCATGTTCGTTCCCATATGATAAGCACAAAGGCACCCATTCTTTAATATCTATGGTAGTGTGGAGTAACTAAGTTTGTCCGGGTTGGCCAATTGTCGTTATGATTATGATCAACAACACAGTTTAAGAGAATAATATTGAGTTTTTAATGATTCGGAAGAAATTTTGCATATAGACATAATATAGTGGTGGTGTGTGCGTCCAGAGTCGGCGTAAGCTATGGGCGACCTGGGCGACTGCCCAGGGCGCCAGCATGGAAGGGCGCCAAACTGAAAACTATTTTTATTTAATTTATCTTTTAGTACGCATTAACAATCTATACAATTTGAAATATTCATTATCTAATGTGGTTTTAATTGAAGACACATCTGCAATCATCTCATATATTTTGTATAATGAACTATAGTAATTCGTAAGAATATTACAGTTATGCATCGATACATATGCATATTTACCCATTTATAAATAAATTCATAAAACTAGACGATTACTTACGTCTAGACTCATTAGAAACACCGGGGCGGTAAAACCAGTTCGGACCTTACGGCGAAAATACCTCAGTGTGGTGTAAATCAAAAACGCACAATTGCCTGACACACACTAGTACACTACACCCTTCAGAGGAGAAGTAATTGGAGGAGAAGTAATGCTAACGTGGTTCCTCCTCCATCCCCCGATTATTAACTCGAAAAAAAAATAAAAAAAATCCATAATATTTTAAGTGCATATTATTGGGGTTTTAAGTACATAAGTGCTTGCATATTTAGTGCTTTTTTAGAGCTACAAGTCCTCTGCCCTAGTTATGTCAAATATATAAACTAACAAGTAACAGCCAACGGGTAATCAATATTCATATATTTTGTTTAGTAAATTTGTACATAATATTTTGGTTTCTTATTTACAATAAATTCCGTTCTCTGGTTGTCTTAATTAATAAGTGAAACACAGTATTCCTATATTATAGGCAGTGGTGTCGTGAAATGATATTATATTAGATTTAATATTTTATGTTAATAAATATACTTTGATATAATTTTATACAATATTTAATAAATGGGGTAAAGGGAGATATAACGTGGTGAATCGCACATTCGCACATTTATTATTATGAAAACACTTGAACACGTTTTCGCAGTATCTATAAATATTATAATATCATATTATTATTTACGTACATGCAGATGGCCCCAGACTATGATAATAAAAAATCTATTTGAAAATAAATACATATTTTATAAAGCAATGTAAATTGAATAACATTTGTTAACAAATATTCTAAATTTGTTAAAAATTCATATTTAATAAAAATAATATGTACCTATTTACTAATAAAAAAAATTTATATTTGATGAAAAAAAGTATAGTCGGTACAACGTACGTATAGTTGGCCAGATTGCTGGACTTTATCGGTAAGTCAGGGGGCTGCGTGAATTTGGCCCCCCGAAACTTATTTTTGACTCAACGGCCGAGGGGGTTGTTACAAATCGGGTATTGAATTTACAATTATTTACAATTAATTTAAAATTGTTTGCAATACTTTTGAAAATGGTTGTACAAAGTCAGGGGGGGCATCTTCATGTACCTATATTATTTTCGTTGTACAACTTGGGCGGCAGCCTATATAATACTTTCGGCAGCGACGGCCGTTTTGGCTATACCTATAAGTTATAGGGAGTAGGTCTTTTTGACCGCGTTATAATTATTAACACTTTTCTTAAGTTCGCTTTCACGTCCGTCTGTAATCAAATCTTGCGCGCTCGATTTGAGGCACTTTTTGAAGATGAAAAATTCTGAAAATTGCTATAGACCTTGGTCTTGGATGACAATACAATAATCCGTAAAAAAATTTTTTTAACTAAAAAGTAGAAAATAAAAAATTTTTTTTTTAAAAACACACTTTTCTAAAAAAACAAAAAAATAATGAAAAATTTAAAAGTGTGTGGCGCTCTTACACTTCACATATTATACTCCCAGTCACTATCTTATAAACAGGATTGAACAAAGAAGTGTATGTGAGACTTAGCTCGGCTTTAAATGTTTTGTATGATGCACCACACACTTTTAAATTTTTCATTATTTTTTTGTTTTTTTAGAAAAGTGTGTTTTTATTTTTAAGAATATATTGTGATATCTCGGTGATATGAGTCCTTTTCGAAATTGTTTGATTAAATATTATGATATTTATATTTTTAAAATTGACTGCTGATGTTATTATCGTGATTATAAAGTAAACGAAAGCAATATTACCACTAGGGATGGCAAAAAATGGCAAAATATCGATATATCGAAAAAACAAAATTAAAATAATAAAATTAAGGCAAATCGTCCCTGTCAATGAAGTGGGTTGAATTTAGTTCAATTTGTGATTGATGTAGCAACGCATATGGGCCACGAATCGTGACAAACCTAGGACTTTGGAGTGGTTTAAAACTATATTGTGGCGATGGAAATCACGACAATCAGGCACCAGTCTTGCAGGTAACTGCGATCGTGGACGACAATTTCGGTGATTGTTTAATCACTATTATAGTCCTCGTACAAATTTCGAATTCACGTGTCACGTTAAATAGGTGTTTCTTCAAAATATATATCCGTGTCACGGGTACACGGGTCACGGGTGCAAAAAAACACTTGTTCCATTGAGACCTCTAATATCTACAGTCCATACTTATTTTTAAATTTTCGAAAGAGTGAGCACGGTTAATCTCGAATACGGATAATCGAGTCACGGATAATCGAGTTTCTACTGTACTATAATATAGAGTATGACGTAATGATTTCTATCACACAATGATTCGCACGGCCTAATGACTATTTATAAGAATATTATATTTTTATTATTATTATCAACTGGGAGGGGGGAGGGGTAAGGGCTCCGATATTTCTAGCGCCGGCCCTGTGTGCGTCGGTCACTCTAAGCGGTCGTCGTCGTGGTTTTAAGATTCGCTGTCGGTGAACAAGGTCGCGTCGGACCTGTGCGAATGCCGCTCGGTGTGCTGCGGTCGAGGACGGTCGTGGTGAGTCTCATAGCTGGGGAGTAGGAACCGTCAGTAGCCGAGACGCACAAATCTCGGTCGGCGAGCAAGATGGCGGCAGACGGCTAAGTCACCCAGAACGATGCACACGTCACGCGAGTAAAAACAGTGAGGGTGAAAGCAAGGGAGGAGCAAACGTTATCGTGGTCGGGGGATGAGAGAGCGAGCAGCAAGCCAGCTGTCACAACGGACGCTACTAACTGTACCGGGTGGTGTTGCCAAAACAGTGATACCAACGAGAGAGAGTATTTTAGTGATGCTCTGGTTCACCACAGTAATCTGTGACTCTGTGTATTAATATCACGGACTAAGATATACAGGACTGGACACGAGATGAATATTGTGGTTACGAAATGTTTTACAACAGGCGGAGTTCGGGGGGATATTTTCCTTTTGGCATTACTAGCGCCGTCTTAGTGGATACTTATGGAACTAGAAATTTGTATGATGTGTTCTAGTTCCATAAGTATCCACTAGGACGGCGCTACTAATGCTAAAAGGAAAATATCCCCCCGAACACTGCCTGTTGTAAAACATTTCGTAGTCAACCCCCACACACCCTCCAACCTTGTCGTGTCCAGTCCTGTATATCTTAGTCCGTGATTAATATGATGGTGTTATCATATTTCAAACTTTATCCGATTATTATTATCTAAGGTTCCTGCCAAACATAAAGTAAACAATAATTTTCTTCAGACTAGAGTCGACAGTTCTATAAATGATCTAAAGTATTGTTAAGTATCAAGGTTGCCTGGCTAGCCTACTTTCTAATGCACTGACTAGGGTTGCACAAGTAAAAAGAGTGAGTAGTCATTATGACACTCGGTGTTTAGTGATAGGTATTGTGTTAAGGATTATTTTGTAATAGTAATTAAATAAATAGTTAAAGTACAGTATACTCGAATTGATGAATTGTGAGTTTGGTATTGTTGTGTTTTTAATAGTATGATAAAAAAACACTAGAATAATAATTGAATATTGTGTTACTGTCTATTAGTTATTTTTGTTTGAGATTTAGTTCAATAGACATTTAAGATGAGTAGTAATATAAATAATTCCACTCCTGCAATGTGTATTAAGAATAGAGATAATTTATACAGACTCATAATAAGGTAAAGCATAAATTCTAGTAAAATATAAACCATAGTATTTTTGTTTAAACTCATTTCAATTTTGTTCAGTCAACTCTTTTATGATGGTCATTCCACAATTGCCTCAAGTTTGGCTGCCCAAGTAAACGCTGATCCCCCTTGTAATCCATCGGATCGACTCATGAGTGTAGTGACAAAAGGTTTACAACATGAAACCGATAGACAAAAAGAATCTGAACAAGCATTAAACTTAAATCCAATTCAGCAAATGTTAATTGGACCAGGCATTGGTATGCTTAATGATTTATTTGTCACATATATTTGTGTATAAAATTCTTTATTTGATTTGATTAGACTTAGAATTTGAAACTAATGTTGTTTGTACTGCTTCTGAACCGTCGTTGTATGAAACTGTATATGTTACATCCCACAAAGGGCCCTGTAGGGCTGGTGCATTTAGTCCTGATGGTCAGTTAATCGCAACAGGAAGCAGTGATGCATCAATCAAAGTAATTGTATTTTATAACATAAAATTCAATGACTTATTAAAATAACATTTATAGATTTTGGATGTTGAAAGAATGCTGGCTAAAGCACATGATATTGGAAGTACTGATAATCAAGAAGGACAGGGTCATCCAGTAATTCGCAGCAACTTTTATCCCTAGGTATTTTATTTTGTCAAATGCATTTATTTTATTAAGATCACTCTACACAGATATTGGTCCGTCTTACAAGTGCATAACATTGCAAATTTACGCTCATCAGATCACGTTTAACTCAGTTAGTTTAAAAACTAGAGTGAATCGACCTAATATGAAACTTAATGGTAAGAACATTATCTGTGTTTGCTTGTGGGTTTTTTTTACAATTATACTGTTGTTAAATGAATTATGAGCGTTTTTAATTTACTATATAATATATATTATATAGTACACAACACTTACTAAAAATTGAACTGTCGTAAAAAACCCACATACAAACACAGATAATGTACTTACCATCAAGTTTCATAATATATGGATTGACTCTAATTTTTAAACTAGCTCCACTAAATACTTTCACCTGAACGTAAATTTGCTATGTTATACACTTGTAAGACGAAGACAACAGATGGCTGTGTAGCGTATCCTTAAAATGTTTTATTTGTGAATTACTTTGCAGGCCATAATGGACCTATTCGTTCAATTGTGCACTCTCCAAATTCAGCAGCATTTTTGACTTGTTCAGATGACTTTAGAGCCCGTTTTTGGTATAGAAAACCCTCGATTTTATCATAGATAGAATATTTTTTGTTTTTATTTAAAAACTATTTATATAATATTGAATTTTATATAAACATTTAATGTACATTAGTAAAAATAACAAATTATATAATATATATCTATTGTATTCATTGAAATGTACATTTGTAATTAAATAATATTTCCAACATTTCAAATAATACATAATACCTCTCTTAAGACGTTATATTGCTTTTTTGTTCGGTCTGTGTTGGAGTATGGGAATAATTATTTGGGATATGTGCACATTCAATGGTAGTAGTCAACTGGAAAGAGTTCAGCGTACATTTTTTAAATTTACCGCTTTTGCTTTACTCATTGAGTGCGCACCTCACGAGTATCAATCTGTATAGAGGCTAATCTTACGTTTCTTTCTAAACTTATAAATGGTGAAGTCGATTCCCCTGCCATCCTATATAAACTAAACTTAATTTCAGATTTCCAAGTTTCTATTCCAGATACTCGTATCCCTTTCCAAATTACTTTTAGCCGCTGTAACTATCGAACAAATTGTCCATATGATGAAACTGCACAATGAGGACCCGCTATTCCTTAGTACTTAGCATTAAATTATTGTGTGTTCTTTTTTATTATTATTTCTTTTAATTATTTTTGTTATTTATGTAACTTTCTCTGAGTTATTAAGTATACAGTACAATGTAATAGGGCACGCCCCGTATTCAATAATAAATAAATAATAATATGTAGAGTATGGCATATTTTGGTGTAATAGTCAATAATTAAATTTAAAAAATGTATAACTTGATATTATATTATTATTACAAATTAAAATGAATATAAATATTTAGTCAAAAATGATTTTGAGAATGCACACTTGTGTTTTTACTGTCTTATGAACCTACTAGTGTAGAACATAGTACAACTGTGTTCAATTTGTGTAGTAAGCTTTAATTATAAAGTGAATTGATCTAGCATTATATAATAAATATAATGAAGCTAGAATAGGTACTATAATATGGCACCCATATAAATTGTAACTTTATATTATTGTAATTACATTGTACATGCAAACTTTGGATAACGCAACCTTAAAGTAACTAAAGTAGGTAAATAGTGTTAGAATACTGTCAAATAGTAGTCATACCTACTAATCGCTTATGTCTTCATCATCAGTATCCTCAGTGTGTCCACTGAGTTCCTGAATTACAAATGTGTATACCAAATCTCATAACATATAATTAAATCTTAACATTAAACCTTTTTAAATAACAATATTTTCAATACCTAGTTCAATACATTTTTTTAGTATCCATTTAAATTAAGTAATATTTTGTTCAGATATCATAAGCATTAATGAAATAACAATGTATTTGTTATACTGTAATATAATGTGATTTTATTTGTAAATTACAATTAAATATTAATGTAATCAAATAATGATTTAGACCATATTATTTTGTATGCAAAAGTAGCCACAAAATATTACTAAAGTTAACAACACAAAATTAGTTCTGCTGAAAGGAAATTTACAATATTGTATAAACATTCACTAATTACACAAATTGGTTATATTTTAGGGCTTTAGGCTCAGTCCTTAATAGTTAATAGGTAATAAAAATAGGGTCAAAAGTTATAAGGCAGGTAAAGGACATAAAATCAAAATTTTCAAAAACTGCTCCAAAAGCCAAAACCGAAAATTTTCAAAAACCATTCTTGATACCCATAAATTTGCAAAACCTTTTTTGAAACCTAAACCAAAACCAAAAAAGGTAGAAAACCGTTTCGAAAACCGAAACAGTAAGTGTTAAAATTTGAAACAGTTTCTTTCCCTGATCTAAATTACCTATTCATTATTTAAAGCCAGAAAAGTGGTAAAAAGTATTAATTAACACTGACATGATAATGCTGATGACAATGTTTTCATTCCCGACTCCCGTGTCCTATATTATCAGGTGTTATATCTCAAACAAATATTAAAATGTTATACAATCAAATTGTTGTAGGTACTTTAACTAGGAATTTCCAAGTGAGAGTCGGAAATTGATAACTGCTACAGCTATGAGAACATTAACGACAGGAAAAATCTAATGTGACATTAATAAATTGATGGTCACTATCTCCAAAAAAAGTGAAATGTAGGTATGTTATATTCTCTTTTTATTATCCAATAAAATTGTATCTTACAATACTTTCACATTTAATATTATGTTTAATAACTTATATTATTGGTTTATTTGTATTAAATGTATGAGTGATGACAAAACCACAAGCTAATAGCAGCCTCACAAAAGACAGTTATGACCAGTGTCGGCCTGGCACACCAAAGGCCCATGGATCAGTTTGGGGCCCCATAATTAAATACAAAATTTACTTGTCATTTTAGTGAAAAAATGCTCACCAAATTTTTTCCTTTAAAAATACATTTATTCAAATTCTCATTTTTAGAATTTTTAAGTATACCTTAAGACCATATATTCAAATTCCTGATATTTTTTGAACTACCATTAAAAAGTGTCCTCCGGCTATACAAACTTCTATTTTTCGAATGAGAATTTCCTTTTTTACTGCATATTATTTAGCAGATGATGTTTTTGTAAATGTAGATCTATCTAAATCAAAATTCTAGTAAGTAGTCGCTGAATTATTAAAATGTGTATCCTAAGAAAAATAATCCTTAAAATATGGTTTTACAATAAAAAAAAAACTATAGATACCTACCTAATATTAGATGTAGTACCTATATATTCACTATTATCATTATAGGTAGGTATTTATCTTTATAGATCAATGGTAATAATTAATAGTAACAACTAACTACTTATATTTTCAAATCATCTAAGCCCCCAAATCAACTTGACTAATTTCCATATAGGTACGTATTATCCTCAGTAAGTACTCAAAGTTATACCTACCTATAACTCAAAAACTACTAGTTTGAATTTTGATTTATATGCCTGTATCAAATTTCTCAAAAAAAAAAAATATCTGCTGAAAGCTGTTTAATAAAAGTAAAAAAAGGTGGGTAAGTGGATGTCGCTCTGCTGTACAGTAGGTTACAAGTGGGTCACTGTATAATGGATGCTATTTAAATTTGAATTCAATGATACAATATCATTGTATTAGAAAAACGATTCTGAGCGAAGACGGTATGTCAGTCTAGGTTTAAGACAAATTATATACATATCTATGGTATTAAAAAAAAAATTGACCTATAATAAATTCCAAATTAATCATATCACTTTATCACAATATCCATTAGGTACTTATAACACGTTATACATCAACATCAATAACAAACCCTGATACTATCATAGATATATAATAGTACACTTCAGAAGTTTCAAGTAGGTACCCACGAATAATATTATATAATCACAACAAAATAACTAGGTTATTTAATATGTAATTTCGTCCAAATTTGAACATAAAATGACTATAAAAATAAACAGTGATTGTATATTTTTTAGATTTTTCGGTAAGAGAATTAACTACTTACGTGGAATCTTGTTTTAAATTTTCAATCCTTAGCTATAAAAACTGAACATTTTATAATTTATAAATTACGATGATTAATAATTTTCGAGATTTTGAAAAATTCTGTCAAAATTCGATGTTTAGATGCTTATAAAAAAAAATTGTGCCTATGTATTTTTAATATTTTTCAACTGATATTGGAACAATATACCAGGAGCCTTGTATTAAATTTTTACACTTTTTGGCCCAACAGATAAAACTTTATTGATATTCATAGGAAAAAAAACTAAAAAAATTGAAAAATGAAAATATCCGTAAACAGCTCAAAAAGAGTAAAAATATTTTCAAAATTGTATGGTGTATAGGAAATGCTAATATAAACATTCAGTGGAATTTTCATGTATCTATAGTTATTCGTTTATGAATAACAACCAAATAAGGAAATCGCTACATGAGAAATCGAGTGAACATCCAATGTTGTAAAAATTTGAATTTCAAACGCTCATAAAAATTTATTGTGACTGTCCGGTAGAGATTTTTTTATTGATAAAGGTAGACACACTTATAAGTAATCTTGTATTACATTTTCAAATCTTAGATTCAAAAAGAAAAATTTTTACGAATTCTTAACTCAAAATAATTTGCTAATTTTCGTGATTTTTCCATATTTTGTCAATTTTTGAACTTTAAATGCTTATAAAAAAAACTGTGACTAACGATTTTTAATATTTTTCATCTGCCTTTGAAACAATATACTAGGAGCCTTCTATTAAATTTTCAAGTTTTTTTAACCAACAAATAAAATTTTATTGACATTTCTAGGAAAAAAACTAAAAAAAAATGAAAAATGAAAATGTCCCTAAACAGTTCAAAATAAATCAAAATATTTTGAAAATGTTATCGAGTGTAGAAAATGCAAATATAAACAACCAGTGAAAATTGCATGTATC